CGCGTCGGACCTGCAATTGACAAACAAGTCCACACCCAACTTTGCCATTATTGGCGCACATGGTGCCTGGAGAAGCCCGAACCAACCAGAAGTGCGTTCCAAGATACGTCCATGACCAGCTTCTTGGCCACCAATTTGACCTGCTTTTTTTTTCGCATAAACACGCGCAAGTTTTTCAGTTCGCGCCAAGCTGCTCTGTCTCCTGTTCTGGCACTTTCCACGAGACGCTCCGCGACGAAGGATATGCCCTGCATGCACACCGCAACACAATCTACAATACCATACTTTCTGATTAGCTGTCGCCAAGAAGCTGCTCGTCTATGTCTTGAGCTTTCCTTTTCCTGATAACTGACGCAGGAAGTGACGAAATCAGTCATTGACGGGATCCAACTTTTGTCCAAGAGACTGGTTCAGTGTGTGCGGAGACCCGGGAGTAACGAATGACGCATAAGGAGAGAACCCATTGCACGATGCATGTTCCTGTTGTCAATGTTAACGCATCATTTCTTTGCTGCGCACTTATTCCGTTGACTGCCAGCGCGACCTCCTCGCTGGGACCATTGCTTTGCCGCCATGGCGCCTACGAATTTCCAAAAACAACACGCTGGTATTAGTTGTGGTATGTTTTTTGAAATGGTCTGCGTGGACGACTTTAATATGATGCTAGCATTCTGAATGTTTTTAGCGTTTAGATAGCAATTTCGCTGTTATTAAACGACAGTTGGCATGATATATTTATCCTTGGTCACGTTCACACTACCTTTGGAGAATTGTTGACATTACAGCTACTGCGGTTTTTTAGTCTGATGCTCAGATCTCCGTGCTTGAAAAACTTTTGATAACCACAATGCTTCCTCGCGCCCGATAATTTCTGAAGCTGACTGGGGGGAGTGTTGCATGGAAAGGATAGGCGCGGCAACACGCGCCTGAAAACAATCTCACACAGTGTCGTTTACCAGCATAGCAGACATCGTTTTCCGGCAAGCAGCACTACGGCTCTTCTGCATTGCTGCATATCACGTCATCACGAGATCGCAGGCATGACAAAGTAGGCGACCCAGCACACTGCCTGCGCATAACTGCTAAGCAGAAAATCGTGCATTATTCAAATCTCCAAATCACTACAACTTGCCTTAGCCCGATGCCAGAAATAGGGGCGCAGGAAAAGCTTCCCAATCTCGAAAGTGTACATACCCGTGAAATGCGCCCTTTTAACTCATTTAGAACTTCTGGACAGCTGCATGAGAGGATTTTGGTAATGGCAACGCTGCAGGTGGATGACGCTTTTGCTAACATCATGTAGTGTTGATGCGATGTTAATGCTTTCCCAAATTCTATACACAATAATCAGCAATCTTGAAAATCTATGTGTACCAACAATAAACGCCAACTTACAAATAAACTCATAGTTTGGCAAACATGTGCTGTGGATGTGCCACTTCTCATCTCGCTGTTGGGAATACCTCAGGCACGATCAGAGGTAGGTGTTGAATCTGAAATTCGACGCCAAACCCGACGCCAAACCCAAAGCGGAAAACTAGTATTCAAATTAACGAATTTTTCTTCGGCTTTTACGGATTCAGGTTTAAAGCTGAAGCGTACGGTGAGCCCCTCTGTAGCCTTTTTCTCTCGGAGAAAGAAGCTTGTGTACTGTTCTGGCTCCGTGACAGCTTGGCATGAAGCCGCTGCAATGAGAAGAGGAGCTTTTTTCATTACTATTTTGGTTTGCTTACGGGTTTGGGCTTAGGGGGCAGTCGGGCCCCCTTGCAGCTTGCACTTGAGGCGCTGCAAGGGGGAAAGGAGCTTTCTTACTAGTTTTTCGGTTTGCCTATGGGTTTGGGCTTAGGGGGCAGTCGGGTGCAGCTTGCCCTTGAGGCGCTGCAAGGGGGAAGGAGCTTTCTTACTAGTTTCCGGTTTACCTACATGTTAGGGCTTAGGGCTTGCCCTTGAGGCGCTGCAAGGGGGAAAGGAGCCTTTTTCATTACTATTTCGGTTTGCCTCGGGTTTGGGCTTAGGGGGCAGTCGGGCCCCCTTGCAGTTTGCCCTTGAGGCGCTGCAAGGGGGAAAGGAGCTTTCTTCCTAGTTTTTTGGTTTGCCTATGGGTTTGGGCTTAGGGAGCAGTCGGGCCCCTTTGCAGTTTGCCCTTGAAGTGCTGCAAGGGGCAAGGAGCTTTCTTACTAGTTTTCGGTTTGCCTACAGGTTTGGGCTTACGGGGCAGTCGGGCCCGCTTGCAGCTTGCCCTTGAGGCGCTGCAAGGGGGAGAGGAACCTTATTACAATATACTACGTTTGCATATGGGTGCGAATGTAAAGAAATTTGCATTTCGAGTTCGGGTATCAGTTGAATGTTTTCACAGATCCTGTCAGGAACGGCTAAGTTGCTTAGGGGTCAGACTTTCGAGTTATGTTTAACATTGCAATTTGCTTTAAGGGCTTCGGGCTTTTCATCCCACTGAAGCAACTGGATCACTTTGCGCCCAGAACAAGAAATGCGCGCCAAAGGAAGGTGATGGAACCTAGTAGTACTAGTAGTACTAGTAGTACTAGTAGTACTAGTAGTACTAGTAGTACTAGTAGTACTAGTAGTACTAGTAGTACTAGTAGCAGTAGTAGTAGTAGTAGTAGCAGTAGTAGTAGTAGTAGTAATAGTATAGTAGTAGTAGTAGTAGTAGTAGTAATAGTAATAGTAATAGTAATTGTTGTTGTTGTTGCTGTCGTAGTAGTAGTTGTTGTAGTAGTTGTAATAGTGGTAGTAGTGGTAATAATAGTAGTAGTACTAGTAGTAATAGGTAGAAGTAATTCATAGTAATCTTTAACAGTAGTAATAATAGTCGTAGTAGGAGGAGGAGGACGACGACGAATACTATACTACAAGTGATTGTACTGGAGATGGTAATAAGACTACTTTTTATTAGAACATTAATTATGGTATTCAACGTAGGAACAATACTGCTAGCAGTCTTTCTTGTACCAATACTAATGGTAGAGGAAATACTACCACTAGTACACAAGTGGTACTTGCCGTTATTGCAATTCTAATAATGCAAACGTAATACTAGCGCTAGTTGGCATTACCATTACGACTAGTACGAGTACGAGTACGACTACGACGACTACTACTACTACTACTACTAGTACTACTACTACTACTACTACTAGTACTAGTACTAGTACTACTACTAGTAGTGCTCGTACGACTAAGACTTCCACTACTAAGATTGCTACTATTACCACCAATATGACTATTACTACTACTACTACTACTACTACTACTTAGACTTAGTACTACTACTACTACTGCTGCTACTACTACTACTACTATTAGTATTACTACTATTACTGCTACAACTGCTATCAAAGATAACAACTGGTAGCCTCTGTCCTGTCATGTATGTTACCATACATGGCGGCAGCATCCATTTCTTGCCTTGCTTGCCTGCTAGCCTGTCGGCTTGCTTGCTCGCTTGCTTGCTTGCATGTTTGGACTACCTTGCTTGCCTGCTTGCTGGCTTGCTTTCTGGCGCTCTCGCTGGTTTTCTTGCTTGCTCGGTCGCTTGCTTGCTTGCTTGCTTGCTCGCCTGCTTGCGTGCAGCTGCCTTGCTTGCTTGCTTGCTTGCTCGCTTGCTCGCCTGCCCGCTTGCTTGCTTGTGCTTGCTTGCTTACTTTCTCCTTGCCATCTTTATCTGGGTTTTGACCAATTTCAAGACGGGGAAGCGGAAAAAAAATACAAAAAAAAGTGGAAATTGCGAAAAAAATACCGCCACCCTTCAAGACGCACATCGCGCCAGCGTATCAGGGCTGAGGTTTCTGTGCCACAAGCCCTTTTTGCAACAGGCTTTCCGTGCCCGCCTGGACCCTAAACTCTTAAATCCCGCAATTGTCATCCCTACACACTTATCCCCATACCGAAAAACCCTGGTGGGATAGATTTAGGGGTGCAAGAAAATCATTTTGTCATAGGGAACATACAAGCATTCTGGATTTGGAAAACATTATGGAATTGTATTCCACAATGATTACCTTTATTTCCAGGAATATTCCTGAGCACTACCCGCAAACCCTGAACCCTAAACCCTAAACCCCCCCTAAACCCTAAAACCCTCAAACCCTAAAACCTCAACCCTGAACCCTAAACCCTAAAACCCCTAAACCCTGAAACCCTCAAACCCTAAAACCTCCACCCAGAACCCTAAACCCTAAAACCCCTAAACCCTAAAACCCTCACACCCTCAAACCCTGAACCCTAAAACCTAAACCTTAAATTCCTAAAACCCCAAAACCCTAAACCTAAACACATCTCCTGGCCTGCATCGCCTGGCCCAATCTTCGCAGCAGTCTCTTCTTCTCCTTGCGCAGCTGGACCTGAATTTGGGGCTTACCTGACATGGTTTAGGGTTTTGGGGTTTTAGGGTTTAGGGTTTAGGGTTTAGGGTTTAGGGTTTAGGGTTTAGAGTTTAGGGTTTAGGGTTTTGGGTTTAGAGTTTTGGGTTTTGGTTTAGAGTTGTTTTTTTCTGTGGGACCTTTTCTCCTCGGGATAATCTCCCCTCGGGGATGTTACTGTAACACGGCCCTGTACCCAGCACAAGCGGCCCAAACAGACTGAAAAAACAAAGTTTAGAGTTTAGGGTTTAGGGTTTGGGATTTAGTGTGTGTTTTAAGGTTTAAGGTTGTTGATTTTTCTTTTTTCTCGGACCGGGTTTTAGGTTTAGGATGTAGGGTTTATGCTCTAGGGTTCAGATTGGGATTTCCGAAGTCAGGGGCCCCTCATGCTGAGAAGTTCCTGGAAAATTGGACATAACCCGTTTGGGTCTTTGGGGACCTCAATTTATGGATTTTTTGTCATCCTGGATGACGTTCAACATGGGCAAGAACAGGATGATGAGAACAGAAAGATTCTGGACACCAACAAGAGCAGGAATCATGCTAGCAAAATATCAGCTATGGTTAGCAAACGACACCTCACGCAACATTGACAGTGCACCGGCAGCAATCAAAGTTGCTAGGCTGTGACTTCTTCCGAGGCCATAGACCTTCAATATATATATATATATACTCCCTATATACTCCCTGTAGTTTCCATTTTCTTTTCCATTATCCCTATATAACCCCACACCCTAGCGGCTGCAAACAACTGGATGCTGGGCTGGCGGCCAACAGCAACACGCCATCCTGCAACGCTCACAGCAAGGTCGAATCTAATTACGCAAATTCACCACGACCTCATGCTGCAAATGCCAACTGTTTTGGTGAGTAAGCCGGCCAACCCTAAACCCTAAACCCTAAACCCTTGCCTTGAGGGTGATGGCAGCATTGCCCCTTCGATCAAGAGCCCTATTGCTGACAAGGGGCAGGAAGGCCACCAGGATTCGAGTCCAGGATGGCCTCATCCTTTTGAAGGGCTATAGTATATTGGAGTTATATAGGGATAATGGAAAAGAAAACGGAAACTACCATTTTAAGTTCAGAGTTTAGGGTTGAGTATATATTGGGATAATGGAAAAGAAAATGGAAACTACTATAGTACATTGGGGTACTATTGGGAGAATGGAAAATTAAATGGAAACTATATTGGGTTGGTTTGGGGAGTATATTGGGGTTATGTTGGGATTACATTGGGACTATATGGGGATCATATAGGGGTTAGATAGGGGTAATGGTCCACTTAGGAAACTAGAAGGGACTCAAGCGGGACAGATTTTTCGAAACGTCACGCTGCCTGTATCAACCAAGTTTGCAAGGAAAAAGCACGCAGCAAGCTGCTTTGTAAAACTTCAAACTCCCATCTTCGATACAACAAGTCCTGGTATTCCTGGTAGACCCGTCTTTCGCTAGGGTGGATTGAGAAACCAGCTAAACCTTACCTTTCCGTTCAAGAAAACACACAGGATTATGGTGCTAGCGATTTCAGCTTGTTAGCCTCAAATGGCCTGGCTACAAAAGGCAGTGCAGGAGCCGCTGCCCCAAGAAAGCCAATACAAGCATGCTATCGAAAGCCACTCCACGACTAAAAACCGACCAAAATTGCAGCAAGCGAAGGTTAGAGCTCCTCCGACAAGGTCGTCGGATATTCTGCTTCCAGGCACTCACAGGTAGCGGCCACCGCCCTCAGGACCACCGCCTAGGGCGAGCATACGCAAGGCACTGCATGTTTGCGAGTACACTACTTGCAGCGCCTGCCTCAGAGGCCTCTGGCAGCAGCGCGAAAAGGGCCTCTTCTCTACCGTGTCCCGGGCCGTTTACAGACTACGCTCCATGGCCTGCAACAGGCCCTGTGGAGGAGCCCGAGCTCGCAGCTTCAGGTCGCCCGCGGCCACGCCACTGCGTTCCACCTCCCGCAGCCTGGCCTCCTCTCAACTGAAGCGAGCAAGATCGCATCTAGCAGCTGTGACATCTGATTTCCACTTCACTGTCCTGCCAGTTGCCGGCACCTTCAAAGCCCACAAGCGTCAAGCACTGGAGGACCTTCACTGCAGCTCCATGGCAGGCTGCCGTGTCTAACCGTGGCACAAGACATCGCCTTCGTCAGCGGCACCTTGAAGTAGTCGTAGGGATTTAGCTGAGGAACGAAGCCTCACAGCTTGCTACTGCAAACCTTGCAAGCTGATGACACCAAAATGTTTGGCAGCCTTGCTGCATCCTCACGGCTTCATCCGCCCTAATGACTCGGAATGCTGGGGTGACAGTGGCCATACCACTGTTGGGCTGCACCAGTGCAGGTGTTTAGAGTCTTCTTACCCAAAAATTCCGAATTGGGATGCACTTCCGAGCCGGTGACCGTAGTACAAGGCAAAGTGCTCATTTGGGTGCCTCGTTGGCTGCACTGGCACAAACGAAATTTCCAGGCCGCAGAAGCCAAGAGGCTGGCTCGCCGTACGAATACGTGACGGCGTCTCCGGGCTGCAGATCGCGCGTCGCAGTGAGGCACCTCCACTGCTGCTTTCGGCTCGGCTTGAGCACTGGCATATCTGAATGGCAAGCACCTTGCTAATTTCGCCGGGGAGCACTGCCTTACCATCGCCGCCCAAATCGAAAACAGCACTGGGCTCTGTATCGTGATTTCCCATATCTGGCCAAGCAAGACTACATCAGAGGACAGCCTGAGCATGGCAAAAGGCCTGCCTAACAGTGGAATCAGAAGGCGCCGGATGCCTGTCAAAGAAACCGGAAACCACAACTATCAGATATTGGGGTTATATTGGGATAATGGAAAATGAAATGGAAGCTACTATATAGTAGTTTCCATTTCATGTTCCATTATCCCATATTATTACTATTATAGAACTACCCCATATTGACCCGACATTAAATAAACCCTATATATAACCCTATGTAGTATAGTAGTTTCCATTTTCTCTTCCATTATCCCTAAACAAACCATAATACAACCCTTTTCTACAACTATCGTCCACATTTGGAGACAGCGCCTCCCAAGTCTTGCAGGTCAAGGCGACAACATCTGCTCCACACATTCACAATGGCCCAACGGAAATCCTGGCATGCAGCGAACGACCATGTGACTGTAGGACATGCTTCTAGCGATCCTCTTCACTCCAAAACGTCCCTGTCTCGCCAGCTTCCTCCCAGGCGGCAAGAGCATCCTCAGGAAGCAAAACGCATTCACATCGCCAAATTCTGACTGTGCAAGCTCAATCAAGCTCATGTTGCTCCTCATAGCGTTCCTCAACCCAGAACAATGTTCCGCCTGCCTGGTGCTCGTGCTTCTTTGCGCCCGTCTATGGCCCAGCTGTGTCCGTGCCTTGACTTCAAAGTCCTCATCCTGCGATATCGGTGCGGACATGCAGCGCAAGTTGCATGCGTGATGCTGCAGGCCACCTCATTTTACTATGCCTCCGCAGTAGAGGTATGTTAACAGCTCAGACGCATCTCCACATCGTGTCCTGCACCTCTTCTAGATCCTGACAGATTTTCAAGCCGGAGCCGAATCGCCGAATCTCAGTAGCAGAGAAAAGTGGTCCTCATCCTCCAGGTCTTTGGGTAGGACGGGTGCAGGTGGCCAGCTGTCTCGAGCAGGGCTTCACATTTTCAACGATGCTATAATATATTATACTATATATTACTAGAACATACTAGAAATTGCTAGTATATAGCGCGATATAAAAGAATACTATTATATCCTATAATATCTCATAGAGTGGAGCTGAACTCTGGGAGCCCTGACCAAGAAAAGGCCGCCACTCTGGATCTTGTCTCCTGGCGCGCTGCAAACATGGCAACCTCGTAGGTGCGCAGAAACTTTGGGGCATAACCCTAAACCCTAAACCAAACCCTCAACCCTAAACCCCTAAAACCCTCAATCCCTGAACCCCCAAATCCTTTCACCCCCAAACCCCTGAACCCTTAAACCCCTAAACCGCTAAACCCCCTTAACCCCTAGACCTAAAACCCATACCCCTAAACCCTTAAACCCCTAAACCCCTTAACCCTAATACCCAGAAAACCCTATCCACTAATCCGGGCAAACCCCTCAACCCTAAAACCCAGAAAGCCTATACCCCTAAACCCTTAAACCCTCAAACCCCTAAACCCCTAAACCCTAGAAGTCAGAAACCCTAAACCTGGAAACCCAGAAACTTTGGGGCATGACCTCTGGAGCACTCCCAGAGCCAACTGAACGTTCCAAGGCCTTGGTCAGACAACCAACCAAGTCTTACAGGATGAGAGGCTCATATATTATATTATATTATATTATATTATATTATATTATATTGAACTATATTATATTATAAAATAATATATTATATTACATTATATTATATCATTATATTGTTATATATTATATGGTACTGAATTATTTGTATTATAATACAACAGATCATGTCATATGATGCTGTATGGTAGTACAATATATTATAATATATTATAATACAACATACTATATGATAGCAGAGCATACTGCATTATAGCATGATAAAGTATATTCTGGACATATATTACACTATATTATCGTATCTTGAAATACATTATGTGTATATTGTAATATATATATATATGCATTATAGTAGCAATGCTGGAGCAAGCGGCAATCGCTTGCTCCAGGCCGGCCCGGCAGTCACAGGGCCTTGTGAGGGGCCTGCAATCTTCACAAGTGTTCCCCCAAGTGCTGGCAAGTCAATCAGAGTGGCCTTCACAACCATCAGCCAAAGTTAACTTCAGGGGCACCTGCGCCACTTGACTCGTGGCCAAATCATGGCTCCCATGTGTTTGCGCCTCAAGAAGAAGGTCACCAGTCTGGACTGGCTTCGTCACTACCAGGCCACGCAAACCGCGCCCATCCACATCACCTAAGCATCAAACCGGAAGCAATGGTCCAGGCATGGTAGGCCAAAAGGGTTAGGCAAAAGGGGTAGTCAGGACTAGAAAAGGGCGGTCGATACGCACACAAGTTTTGTCAAGTGCGACGGGCCACGAATCACGGATCCTGTGCCGCCAGCCCCGCAGATCCACTGCAACAGCTCATCGCTGGCTCCACGTGCAATGCGCGGTGTTCTGCATGGGCGTTGGCCTCCTGCCCGGGGCCTGCAACAAGCATATCAAGGCCACCTCCTACAGTCGAGCTTGCACACCTGCCTCACAAAAAGCGTTGCTTGGAACGATACCAGGAATGCGCTCAAGATGGCCACCCAAACCCATAGCATCTTCCCATGTTCAGGTATGCTTGGGGGCTTGGCCTTTGAGGCTGAACAGCCCGGATTGCAAGGCACTGCGTGACAATACGCGCATTGCAAGTGTCGAAGCTCGTCCGAGTGTCAGATGGCCATGAGCTGAACAGAGGCTTTTTGCCATTGAGGCATGCTTGATGCGATCAGCATCCAGTCATGGTAGAGCAGGCATTGCGAAAATTACAACTGCCTTGCCATTAGCTGCTTTAGCTTTCAAGGTGGCCAGGAATCCGGAATTGGCACTTGTTCATGGTCCAAGTCCTTATATTCAGAAAATTGGGCCTTCACTGGAAGGCTTTCGCGGGGGCAAGGTGTTTAACCAGCCCCTCACTCATACAAGGAAGGAGTGATTGAGTGCCTTTGCAAGTCACTGCACAATGATGCAACAGAAGCTCATTGAATCAGACTGACGCTTTTTTTGCGTGCGCGCGGCCCAGCACCTCATCTGAACCAGCACCAGGCTTTGCTGGGATACTTGCAGAGCTAGGCTCCGTTTGAAGCGTTTAGCCAGCCCACCTGTATTTCCCACTGGCTGCTTGATCAGACCGGCTTTATGGTTGATCGAAAGTTCTGCATAGACATGACTTGAATCCTGAAGTGGGCTGGGCAGACTGGCGAAACCAGTAAGAATCAGCATCTTGCGAGGTGGGAAGAACTGAACAAGTGAAGGGCTTCGCACCCTTCCACCAGCAAGAAGGACCATCTTTGCTAAAAACTCAAAAAGTAATGCTGAACGCTTATGGCAGCCATGCCTCAGCACTCATGCACCGAGCCAGCATGCATGCCAATGATAAACGATTTCCGGAACAGCTACTGTACCCCGGATTCTAGAATCTCCCCGGATACCTCGATAGGCCGTTTGCGCGCTCGACTCAGACCGCGCACCTCGCCTCACGAGCCCCTGGAACGGGATTGCCACGCAGCTCGCAGCAGAAGGAGTGAGCCAGCCGGTAACACCTGCAGGCAGCAGAATGACCTTGCATATGAGTGGGGTAATCCTGCATGAATTTTCGAGAGCCGGTCCTGCACCCAAAGAACAAGCATTCGCCAGAACAGCCGCCATGGAGGCAGGAAGGACTTCTGCAGCTGCCGCCTGACGAATGCGATCCGCCCATTTTCTTGACTGAGACCCACCTTAAACTGCAATCATGGGCCTGCTCATTAGACTTACACCTTGTACCATCTGGAAGGCTATATTCTCTAAACCAGCAGCTCCGCCTAAACAATTCTATTGCTTACCCGATACCTGGGTCACTGCAGACATCCGTCAAACCCAACTTCCGCTGGAATCCTCTGAACCTTTTCCCGCCTCACAATTATCCGCCAGGCATGTCGGGAGTGTTTAAGCGTCGTCTTTGATAGGCGGAACGGATCGTCCTCCGACCAAGTGCCCCAGCCCCTGCATGGCACAGGGATTCTCGCGAGTCATGCCCCTCCTATAAACTCAGAATCTGCCCCCAGCACACACACTATTATCCTCATACACCCCTTAATGCCCACTTAAAGCCCTCTAACAGAATCCGGTGACGATATTTATGGCTTCGTCCAGAAGCGGCCTGGCGGCTGCTGCACTACGAGGGCCTCGTGGCTTCTGACCTGCATTTTTCTGAACATATTGAAAGGGGGCTCCCATAATTTTACCTTTCCGGGGGCCCCACAATAAGGATTATAGTATTCTGGGGGTCTAGATTGGGGTCACCTTAGTTTGAGAAATTGCCATATGTAACATATGCAAACCAAGTCTTAGTCTTTGTCAAGCAGGTGTTCTGGCCGGGTTCCAGCGGTGGCAATCCGCGAGCTGCACACTTCAGAAGGTACAGCTGAAAAGGACCCTGTGTAGGTCTCATAACTTATACTGGCTTGCTGTTATGGAACTTGAATCAAGTTACCATAATGGGTGTATATAGTAATTGATATGGACCCCCAAAATAGTAACTTAAGTGAAGTTCCTTAACAGCAACCAGACTGAAAAGGACCCTGTGTAGGCCTTATACCTTACAACCCATATAAAGACACCTAGATTGCCCCATCCTCACTGACCCAATACGAGGGAGTAGTTCCTTCTCCCGCAGACGCCTTCCAGACCTACACCACCCCGAAGCTTGCGCTTGCACGTTTTTTTATCAATGTCATTTGAGCTACAATCTAAACTCCTAGTATCACCCTTATTTAAGAAGCCCCCTTGTAACTCCTTTAAGGAGTTTAGACTCTTAACCCTAAACCCTATATCATCCCTATACATGCCCCTTCAAGGAGTTTAGACTCCAGCTCATTTGGAACGCTTGGGCTGGGGGGGTCCGGGTTGATCTCAGTTCCTTGGGCAGGGGGACCTAGTAAGTAGGTTAATAGGGGTATAACTAGGGTTACTAAAAGGGTTGTAGGAGGGTTATTAACCTACTTCGTAAGTCCCCCTGACTCTCCAAGTAGTGATTGGAATGATCCGCTCTCCCCAAATACTGAACATCTCCCTCTGATAGTGTTAATACTCGCAGGGGTGACGCAAGCTTACCAATGGAAAACTCAAAGTTAGGGGTGAGGTCAGCTTAAATATCGGGCGAAAGGGACCGCATAATGGCGAGTGACTATCCAAGCTCACGGTGGGTGAGGATGCTCAAAAAAAAAAATGTGAGGGGCCATATCGGGCTCATAGGGGGGTTCCGCCTTTCCCTCGGGACATGTGGGTATGATGTCAGGATTAACTTAGACCGCCACCCTAAAATCCTAAACTCTAAAACCCTAAACCTTGAGAACCCCAACCCCCAGACCTGAAAAACCTTAAAACCCAAAACCTACTTTTCAAATCTTAGGGTCATGCAAGATTTGTAATATCCCTAAACCCTCCACCCTAAACCCTAAAAACCCTAAGCCCGAAACTCCAGACCCTAAACTCTAAACACCCTAAACCCTAAACCCTAAACCCTTAAACCCTAAACCCAAACCCTGAACCTCTAAAATCCTCCGGTCCAGCCTTGCTTCTTCCTTCTACCGGCAGACCATTTGCTGGCCAGGGACCCTTGGCTGGGTTGCTGATAAGGAGCTTAAATTAAGTTACCATAATGGGTATATATAATAAATAATAGGGTTTCCCCAATATAGTAGCTCAATTTAAGTTCCTAAATTAAGTTACCATATCAAGAATATAGAATACTACTACTGGTATGATGTAGGGCTTAAGTTACCCTATTATGGGTGGCTCAAGTTAACATATTAATGGGTATATAGGGTTTAGGGGTGACGGTTGAAGTTACCATATTCTGGGTATGTCGGATATAAGGTTTAGGGTTTTTTCCGCTTGCATGGCCATACAGCATTGCAAGGTGGAAAGGGTTTAGGGTTCAGGGCTCAAGTTACCATATGATGGGTATATAGTAAATGATAGAGTGTCCTTATTATAGCGATTTGCTTTAAGTTGCTCACCAGCCACCCAGTTGGAGGGCTTAGGCTTAGCATCAAAGACACCAGCTGAGGGTCCCAGTGAAGAGGCTGCCTCTTGGGTTTTAGGGTCTAGGAGTTTTGTGTTGTTGGGGTTCAGAGTCTAGGCTTTGCCTTAAAGGGTTTTGCTACGTGCATGGCCCAGGCCTCGAAAGGCAAGTATTGGGCTTAAGGTCTAGAGGTGTAGTCAGGGAAACTATAAGCCAACCCATAACTTATTACTATGGAAACTACTAAATATCCTTCCAACTTTTTCAGGCTTCTACCTCTGGCACTTGCCCGATGGCTCAAAAAGCACCCTGTCCAAAAATCGAGTTCTGTACATGCACAAGGAACGAATCGCTGCGGTACGCAGGGGCGCCGCATCCCGGCTGGTGAGGAAGCTTCTGCAAGCCTCCGTCAAAAAAAAGGAAAGAAGTCAAGCCAGAGCAGACTGATGATCCAGTGAACCAGCTATGCTGCAACGAATCCCTGCCGAAAAGGGCACTAGGCATTATTTATATCACTATTACTATTACTATTACTATTACCATTACTATTACTATTACTATTACTGTTACTGTTACTGTTACTATTACTATTATTACTACTATTGCTATTACTGTTACTACTACTATTACTATTATTACTAGGGATCTTACTATTACTACTACTATTATTACTCTTCTTACTCTTGTTACTACCATTATACACTAGGTGCTGGCCGAGCCCTTCTTCCCAGCATCGCCTCAAAGAAGTCCATGTCAAACAGCACCCGCCGCAAGGCTGCCCCCTCGGCCTTGGAATCAGGATGAATTACTATAATATATGTGTATGGGGTATAGGTGTATGGGATATTTGGAGTAAAAAGGGCACATTGGGTTACTGTAATATGTGTGTATGGGTATAGCTATATGGGATGTTTGGGGTAAAAATGGTATATAGGGTTTAGGGTTGTTATCATAAGCAAAGGTCTCAAAAATGTGGGTCTGTCGTGGGGTGCCTATGCTGGAGACTATGCATTAGGCCCACATTCTGAGAAGCTCCGTGCAAGGGAATCGTGCACCACCTGTTATACCCTAAGCCCTTCTGAAGAGACTAGATAGATCCAAAGTGGCGCAGAATTTCCTAAACTCTGAACCCAAAATAGTAGTTTCCATTTCATTTTCCATCATCCCAATATAAACCTAATATAGGAAAATTATATAGTAGTTTCCATGTTTCTATTTTCCCTATATAACCCCAATATATATATATATATGTAATAATGAGTATATATGCCCTAATGTATAGTCCTTATAATGACCCCTATTGTCAGGTTGTAGGCAGCGTCATCAGCTCTGAGCCTCCGGCGGTTCTGAGCAAGCGTCGCTGTACAGCAGCTTCTGCTCCGAGGTCGGCAAACTCAAGCAGGTCCTGAACGAAGCTGCACAAGGAGGTAATCAAAATATGCGAAAAGTCTTCAGTTTTTTGTGCTATTTGAGCAACCTTATATCTAAAACCGACCACAAAAGCAGGAGCTCCACGCCAATCTTAGGAAGCCGAAGTCAAGGCTCCTTGATGTCACCTTGCGGCGCATCGTCGCCAGACCCGGCAGTGAAGAGAGAGCTTAGGCTGGACCAGTTTGGAAGAGGGGACGTGCTCTCAGCACCTTCGCTTTCTGCGGAAAGCAAAGTGCCGCGCAAGGCTCTGCAACCCTTCCTCGTGCGAGGTGAGAGCAAGCGGCTGATGGCAAATGGCAGGGACTTCTGATATACATTGTATGATTCAACAAGGGCAGGGTCATCTGCAAGCAGGCCCTCCAGTGTAATGAACGTCCGGCAGAGAAGTGCGATGAACGGCGGGGTCAGCATCAAGTACCGATCTGAAAGCTTCTTCAAGGCTACGGCCATGGCTCCAAACCGAGACTGGCCACCTGCCTCCTTCTCGATCTGCTCCCCTACAGCAATGGCAAACTCCTCGTTGCCACAGGGCTCGTAGAGAGGGGTTTTGGACTTCCCATAAGCCATGTTCTTCATGAGCGGCTTCGGGGTGAAGCGCACTTCTTGAAACGTCGTGGTGAGGTCTAACCAGTTTTTGTCAAGAACTTGGCGGACGCCCGCCGCACAGCTCTCCATGATTCCGAAGTCCACGCGGTCCATGAGACCAAAATCTAGAAAAACAACGCGGCCATCATCGCCCATCCTAAGGTTGCCCTCATGCGGGTCCGCATGCACAAAACCAGTCACGAGCAGCTGTACAACGCATGCTTCCACTGCCATCTCCACCAACAGCCTACGCTCGTCGACGGAGAGTTCCTTGGGTGAGCGACTGGGATACCAGTTCAATGCCAGCACGCGTGAACTCCCACGAGGGCCCATGAGCTCAGGAATGCACCCAGGTGACGTAACAAAAGGCAGAAAGGCATGGCGCTGGGCGAACTCTTCCGCATTTGCAGCCTCGTTGTAGTAGTCCAGCTCCATTCGAACTCCTCGCGCCACAGTATCCACGACAGCTCCGTAATCATTGGGCGATGAGACCAACTTCTGGTAGGCTCGGCTTACCAATGTGGCAACTGCCCAATCCAGGCCCAGGACTTCCCGTACTCCAGGCCTCTGTATCTTCAGAGCTACCTTGCTGGTTCAACTGCATTGCGGCTAAGGAATCTAAATGTGGTTAGCATAATATTTAGTATGTACCCATAGTGTGGCCCAATCGACATCACTTTCTAGAGGCAAGGCCATGGGCTGCTCCGACAAGCCAGCTACAACGCTACTGCTCACATCTGATCAGTTCAGTGTCAGTTCAGTTAGCCCCATGGAAAAGAAAGACACTCCCTCAACTTATTACAGGTTGACCGTGCGAAGGGATGTGACAAACAACAGTGCTTTCACACGCAAAACTTGGCCACCAATGATGCTCAGAGCCACCTCACGCCCATCATGCATCCTGCCACGATATACTTGTCCCAGTGATGCAGAAGCGACGTACTTCGGATTCAGTTCCACAAGGAGGGGCTCCCCCTCTGGCTGCGTGCAGTTTGCGGCTTGGACCCCGGGGGCCAAAGGACCGGCATGCTTCAGATCTTCCGCCAAAATGTTGAGCGCCACCTCATCACTGAAGGGCGTGCTTTGCTCCTGCAAACCTTTCAGCTCTTCGGCCACTTCGTCACCAACAATGTCAGGACGTTGAGCGGCCGTCTGGCCAATCTTCACAAAGAAGACGCCCATCTTCTGCAAGCCACGGCGCAAAGCCTCGCCACTGGCCGTTGCTGGACCTTTACGTGACAGGGACGTGGTGAGCACAGTCTCGGTGCTGACCGCTTCAGTTTTGCGATCTCTCCATGCCCACCATATCCCAAACGCAATGGAGAGAGTGGACGCCAAGCGCTGCAAGATCTCCCAAGGCCGAGCCTTGATGTATTCCAAAAGCCGTTCCTGGTCAAAAGCTGCGTTATCCCGATCAGATGTCAGTGCCTGCCATTCAGCAGTCCGCTGCGATCCAGGAGCGGCCTTGGCCCCATCTTCATCCAGCTCATACTGCACTTTCGAATACTGTGGCACGGAACGACGTGGACAGCGCCCACGTGTCTTGGTGCCTGACACCAACATGCTATGAAGCACCCCTGTACATCCCAGTCATGTCACATGCAACCACTTGGTAAATTGGATCCCATTCACATTCCGCTTAACCATCCACTTCAGGCGTCCATTTCAGTATGCAGACTTAACTGCCTAGCATGAACCAGATTACGACTGAACAGTGCTCAGCGAAGGGCCTGAGGCCCCGCTGCCTGCTGCTCCAGATGGTCGCCCACAAGCCGTGAAAGTCCAAGATCTGTAGAGCACACGGACACCACAAAGTTCGCGCTACCGCTGTCGATTTAGAAAAAGGATACCAGAGTGATTGCCAATCAAACATCTACTTTCAAAAAAAAACATCATGAGATATCATGAGCATGACTGCTGTATGAGCATGACTAGAACCGCTGTTGTAACTCGGTGATTGTAGCAAGAGTAGCCGTAGCATTCTCAGAAGCAGGTCAGACAACAGCAAGGAGCCTGGCGAGGCAGATGAAGAAGGCAAGCACAGCCAGCGCAGCTCTCAGCCGATACCACCGGACATGGCGCATCTCAGGGCGTTCGACCCTTTTGTTGAACTCAGGCCTTTTGTGCACTGACTGTCCTGTGTCGTAGCTACTTAGTTGGAGGCCGGAAGAATGAAGGCAAGTCCTCGCAGCTCTTTTGGCAATCTTTGCTTTGGGCCTGATGACTTGGAACAACCCACGACACCCATGTCTTGCATCTGCTTTGCTCGCCTTGCGCCCGCGTTCCCCTACAATCTTGTATGGCAAGGAGGACTAAATCATGTCTGAACAGAATCTCATGGCATCCAAGATGGCATCCAAGTAACCATTGGCCTGACTCCTCTGAGCCTTCGACTGAGGAAACGGATCGGCAAACACAACTTGTAAACCCATGTTGAAATCAGCTGCAGACATCCCATGGAGGATTTGCGTCCTGCCCCAGCTTTTTGCTGAGCCCGGAAGTAAAGGTTTGGCAATTCATTGACATGAGAACTTACTGACAGAAATCCATCAAAATTCAAGAAGTCCCAAGAAACCCTAAACTGACTTCTCATTCACTCGGTCGCCTATCTTAAACGGAAACACTTAAACATCGCAATGACTGTTTGATCCGAGTTTGGGACGTATCTCTTGCTTTGGGTGCGGGCGTTCGATCTCAGGCAGAAACAGTCACTGGAAAGCTTAACAAAGTCCAGGGGCGCCTCCCCATCTGAGCCACTTGTGTTCATAGACACCATGAGGCTTCAGTCTTGAAATCTTATGAACATGGCAAGGAAAGGCGACCATCATCCCCAGTACAAATTCAACTCCACGACCATGTTTTCGTGAGATGCCTGTTTTTACCCCAAACCCTTAACCCTAAACCCTACATAATGTAGTAGCTTCCATCTTTTCCATTATCCCTACATAAACAATCCATTTGATCCCCATGTCCCCGATTGACAGGTCTGCTCATCCGAGGCCCTGGCCTGAGCGTCAACTCCCGCGAGCCGAGAGACCCAGCCTTGGAAAATGATGCCATTTGAGCTTTAGTATAAACTGCTTGAGGGGGTTATATAAGGAATTATAAAGGGGAATATTATGGGGCTTTTTAAGGGGGATACTAGGAGCGCAGACTATACCTCATCCTGGGTTTGGGAAATTTTCCCCGGACAATGCACGGATTGCTCGGGGAGAAAGCTGATCTGTGCAGGAATTGGACAGGAATACGAACGGGATGGTCACCGCATGAGAGCTACTTTCAATACTGAGACGCCTAAAACCCTAAACCCTAAACCAGAGGAACCTGATCAAAGCCTACGAGCTGCTCCTTCGCTGTCCCCACTCTGGTTGTAAATGTGGTTGCTGCAGGGATGTCATGAATTCCCAAGGAATATTCCAATCATTCTGTGGCTTTAATACCATCAAACTGCTGGCCGCTATCACTGGTACCATGCGCTGCCAAGTCCTGTGTTGCTACAGGAGCTTGACCTGTTCCTGTTCCACGAGTACTGCCATCAACTGCGTGCGCATTCGAACAATGTCGCAGCACTGATCCTGGCTTCTTACTTAGTGGTGGTCAGTAGTGGGACTGGGACTCTACGAAGACTTCTATGGGGATCTCTGCCTGCAGCACCTAAAAACCACCAGCAAGGTTGGACTACATGCCTTTATCGCGGCAATGGGGACATGCCGTCAGATCAGCAAATTGAATCCATCAGGCTCTGTAAACCACGCTGCAACAAACATGCCAGCATGCATGAAGGCACGAATGCATGTGTATTGATGTACATACATACTTATGTGCATACCTAAACTGACACACTCGTTAATACGCATGTATGCATGTATGTATGTATGTAGGTGGGTAGGTCGGTAGGTATGTTTTAACATTTTTCAAAGTGCACCCTACCAGGCATTCATAGCGTATATGGAATCCGCAGCCTCATCTCAGGCACCTTACGTTTCATTTATGAAGATAGCAAGACATTTACAGGCAACAAGAACAGAGCATCATGCGAAGGCTTTTTGGACGCCAACACGTTTGTCTGTCGCGGGGTCGCCGTCTTCACCTGCACTCTTGTGAGGTAAACAAAACACACTCCGGGGCCTACTATGCAGTGGTAGGCAATGGTATAGAAGTGATCCGAACAATCATTCAGACACAGCATGCATACTTAGACCAATGGTTGAGCCCTGCATGTTGCTACATTAGCTTCAAACGTTACAGCCTCGAAGATTTATAATAACAAAAAAGAGCCTACATGGATTGATGGTGAAGCGCCATGGCTGGCAGAATGAAGTACAAACACTTCTGCCAATGACGCAGGGGGAAGGGGTCATCTCGCAATCGGCAACCTGGCCTTGCGTAAACCATGGATCTTGGAGAAGCTCCTCTGCGAGGGGCCGACAGACCGGATCCTGAACCAACGAGGGGGCAGGCATGGGAGCAGCAGCAGAGGTACTTATTGTTACCATGGCAGCAGCAACAGCGATTGAAACTTTAGATGCAAAATAGACCTTTTTGAAGGGTACTGGTGCTCACCTGTAGTGGAAACAGCAGTGGCCCATGCTACTGGGAGTGGTCGCGCCAGAAGATTTGCGGTAGCAGTACCAATTTTGTCGCAGAAGTCGCCGAAGAACCAAAAGTATCTAGCAAGAGCAGAGGCAGTAGCAGTAGTCGCTAAAGAAAATGAGGTATTAGCAATATGGAATAGAAGTGAAAATCGGTGGGATGAGGAGTCGTGGTTGCTGTTGTCTCGAGAGAAGGAAGAAGCTGCTCCTTCATGAGCAGGCGAGCGAGGAATGCACAGCAAGTGGACGAAAACGGCTCACCTCACAGCGCATGCAAACGAGAGATTGGCCCAGTCTGCCCAGTAATTACCACCCACGCAAACTCTAGAACATCAAAAGCGCAGGCGAAAGGAACTTCGTTCTGCCGAAAAACTCACCAAAGGCAAGTCACATGGTGGAAGCTCGTAGCTGGCCACCGCAATGCTATCAAGCAAGACTGAAAGATCCTGGCGCAACCAAGCAAGTCAGCCAATCATCCCCTGACCTGTCAAGCAGCTCAGAACGCATGATTCAAGAGCTCCTTGTGGAGAAAGGGTAAAGAACTGAAGAGGAATGCCCACAAGGATATACCAGTTGCCCAGATGTCGGCATGCCGCCCGTCGTGACCTTTGTAGCCTGTCGCGCACATCTCTGGAGAGAAGAACTCGTATGTGCCCTCGGTTCCATGGATCACGCAGTCCTCGGGCATCCTCAGAAAAAACAACGGAAGCCAGACTGCGTTGGGGATGTGCAAGTGGACCACTAGTACGACTACTACTATTAACACTCTTTTTTTGCTATTTTCACTCTTATTACTCTCATTACTCTTATTACTCTTATAACTACTATTGCTCCTTTTTCTGTTATTGCTACTGTTACTTATAATACTATTATATCTACTATAACTACGATTGCGATTATTACTATTGAGTCACCCAGCTGGCTTGGGAGCGGGGGACAGAACCACAGGGCAGACTGTTGAGATGGGAGGTGACTCAAAAATAAAACAAACGCGGGTTTAGGGTGTTTTTGCTTAGGGTTTAGACACGCGCATCGCTCAATGCTTAGGGTTTAGAGTTTAGGGTTTAGGGATAACCGTAGTACTAACAGTAATAGTCAAAAACCAAAATTAATAACAATACTAATCATAATTCTAAATTCTATTCGTTTAGATAGGAGGCTGAATCGCCACCCCGAAGTCGCCGAGCTTGAGGCCACCGCGGCCATCCAGCAAAAGATTCTGTGGCTTCACATCTCCTTGTGCTGCTCATGGTGATCTTAAAGAGGCAGGGAACCCCAATAATGGAGACACCAAAATACTAATAATCCTTACTATAGGGACACACACAAACGACCCCTTCTTTTGGGAAACTCCTAAGTCCTAAGTAGCATTCAGGCTATGTTAGCCTCTAGACAGCAGCAGCCACGTGTGACCGAGTAGCGATGCGCAATCAGCTTGCCATGCAGATAGTGCAAAGCCTGCCTTGAGAGGGAACGGCAGAGCCATCACTAGCAACACTGGTATCAAACGAAATGCCACAAAAGCTCGTGACCAAAGAAACCCGAACGATTGATCGAAAAGCGTGAAAGGCAACATAGGACCATGTCCAGGAAGAGTGCCCGCGTCTCAACAGCACTACGATGAATTCAATGGTTCGAAGCGTGTGTCACTGTCATGGCCCGTGAAACGATCACTGCAAACCTTGTTGCTAGTAAGCGTGGCAATGTCATAATTAACCCTGCCAAGCAAGAAGCCGCGCTGCAGGGTATCAGACACGTAGCTCCGCGCCATCGACTCGTCAATTTGACTGCCCGTCTGAACATGGAAGCGGCATTCTGATTTATCCCAATCCATAGAGGGACCAGCAGGCATGTACTCCAAGACCACATACAGCTTGCCATTAGGAGCAGCTTCATCCAGAACCGCATGCAGGCGAACACATTTTGGATGAGATACCGCTTTCATCCTAGGACGGGCGAAGTAAAGACGCGGCTCTATAGAACATGTGGAACACTCACTTCTTTAGAATATTCCAGAAATCACATGCAAGACGAGTAGCAGCGAAATCTCATCGTAAACCTTGTCTAGGGTTGTGCGGACGGTCATGCCCTCGCCATCATCGGAGCGTCTGAACTCACGTTTCTTGCGCAGGAGCAGTTTCCGAAAAACCTTCGCCAAACAGGGCTGCGTGTGTGGTGACCCCAAAGATGGTTGGCAGCAAAAGCAAGTCAGGCGGCCTTGATTGCAAACTCGGTGGAAGTGCTCTCTTCCACACAGAGCTTGACTCTTGCAAAGGATCCCTCTCCAAGAACGGTCTTCGTCACAAGGAAGCCTGAAGATACAGGAACTGCTCAGAGCAAGGGTTATCCACACACATCATGTTAACAGCAAACAGCACGCGGCTAGCAAGCACAAAAGCGCACCGTCAGGTAAGCGATGGCATCTTCCACAATCCTACCCCGGACGGAATGCCAAGTGGAGCTTCTGCCCCAAACACAGGTGACTCTATAGTATAAAGAATCACGAGTAATCGGTATAATAGCAGCAATGAAGAATGATAATAGCAATAATCAGGCGGGTGGCCGTGGATGGTCTTCGTGCCATCCCGATGCCTGTCCTTCTCTGCGGAAGCCGTCTCTATAATTGGCGGCTGATCTGAGCCCTCCATGCGCTAATGGGCTCAGGGCTTAGGGTTTACCAAGGCTCAGGGTCCATGGCGTAGTGCCAGGCAGGAGGCTTCAGATCTTCTTGTCTATGATTCATGCTGGAGTAGCTCACTTCAAGCAGGCGCATGCTACGAATGCAAGTATGGGATGACAAGTAAAGCTGACAGCACAGAGTAACATCTTCTACCCACGGATCTACCTACCTACATCTAACCATCGCAAAATGCCAGGTAGAAAGCAAAACAGTAACAACGACACTTACGCAGCTCCAGCTGGAGTGAGAAGCTGGATGACCTGCAACTTATGTCCCCGAGCTTGTGTCAGAAATTGAGAAGCGCTGCAGCCATCGCTTGAACCAGACATGGCATTGGTGCTTCCTGCAAACGCGGGACAGCAAGTAGAAATCCCAAACAATTCTCAAGGGCTTTCTGTGACTAACCTCAATATTGGAACCCCCCCATCTTTTTGCAGTGAACCATCCAATGCTCGGCTCCCTGCCGTCCACATGATTCCAGGACTCCTGGTTCCGAGATTCCTCCTGAGCAGGCACCCACTGCAGGCAAGAAAAGATCGTAGGCCAAGGAGGCAGACTCCAGCAACTGAACTGCGCACGATAAGACGCTGAATTTTATAGCAGCATGGCTCATTTGTACAATACCCGAACCGGCACTCTCTTCCTCCTCTTGCCTGTGAGTGGTGGCCTTCGCTGAGGTTCTGCTTCCTCTCCATGGCCCTCATCTTCATCCTCATCCTGGTCGCCGTCTGCCCCGTGTTGTTTTGCAGATGCTCTAGACATCCGCTTCACTACAAGCTGTCTGCCTGCACCTGTGCCATAAGACGCCGTGTACAAGTCCAGCTCAGTAGCAGCTTGGTGAAGGTACCATCGCTCCATCGTGCGCAAGCCATCGAAAGTGAGCTCTTGCAAGCCATCCGTATCTCCCTGTTTGAGAAGACGCTCCTCGAGGTAGCGGACCAGTCCTGGAACATCGGCCAGCAGGGGCTCCACCTCTGAGCGAGGAATTGCACTGCTTCTCCGCAGGTATCTTGGAATTTGCCCGTCGAAAGCTATGCGCACAAGCCACCCCTCCGTCAGCGGAGCATATGTGACTAAAGCCGGCTCGCGCTCCAAGCGCGGGTTGACCTCAATGACTTCCCCTTTGACCGGGCTGTGCACTTCACCAACCGACTTCAAGGCCTCCAAGGTCACAAGCGTTTCCATCACCTGGAAACGGGCACCCTCCTGAGGAAGCCGACAGAAAAGAACTTCACCGAGCGCGCGCTGCGCAACTTGCGTAATTCCCACAGTTCCCACACCAACATCTTCCACCTGGAACCATTCGTGTGTCTTGGTGAAGAACCTTCGCCCTTGCTCACCAGCAACTTCATCCGTTGCTTGGGCTGCATGCCCCGCAGCAGAATAGCTAGCCACACCACGCCGGTGCACAAGCAACGCAATCCTGTAGCATGCACGAGAACTAATGCTTGCCATGGTGACTAGCGTGGACTTGCTCCTAGCTGCTGCTGTCAGGACAAATGTATGCAAAGTGCTAGGCTAGTATCTGGAAGCGTGGCTGCTTCCCAGAACCAGGGTGCATGATGCACAGATCCCTCAACACTTTCCTGCAGCCATGTGGGGATTTCTCAAAATTGCAGGGTGATTCGTTGGGGGTCCCTGCAATAAGGCTTGTAACTATTTGGAGTATATGTTGGGCCCCCCCTATTTTGGGACTACCATGTACCTTTGTTCCCCATAGGCCAGTTCAGCCCAGGCGGTCTGAGCCGTGAAGCACTTTGCAGGAACATTCCACATGGTGGTGTTTGTCGTCATTCATTTGCTTACTTGCTTCAGGAAACCCGCACGGCTACTTACTGTCCCTTGTTGGATGTCATGGAACCCGTAAAGATCAGAATGGAGAACTAGGTTTGAAGATGCTGAGGCGTGAAGGACTCTTTGGGGGCTCAATTTCACAGCCAACGAACCTCTGCTCTGAGGCCTCCGCTTTCTTAGCGCGAAAAACCTGGACAGGTGGAGGATATTGGAGCTTCTATGATCTAGCTGATTTCCAGTGGCTATTCCTGGCGCAAGTGTTTTGGTAGTGCAAGCTCCAAATCCCAAGACGAGTTACCCAAACGTGTTTTTCCTGGTCAGCAGCTTTGTCAGTCAGGTGCCATCTTCGTTGCCTACAACTGCGGTCGCCTCTCCCAGCACTGCATGATTCCCTTCTCTTGCCCAGGTAGCAAGCTGGCTGTACTGTGGGCTGCCGCTTGCGCCTACGATGGCAGTCGTGTGTCCTTCGTCCGGATAAAAACATCGAACAAAGTTCTCAGCTTCTGCCCATTCCTGTACTCGCCACAAGGCTGAACCTCCATCGTCAGAGTCCTGCTGTCCATGAATGAGCACAGCTGGAACTCTAATTGCAGGTCTTGCCCTCAGCTGCTCCAGTTCCTTCACGTACGCGCTGGGCATATGCCAAGACTCTTCGCATTTCCCCTCGAAGTTCCTGGAGGGCAATCTTTGGAACAGGCTACACAACAGGCAATTGCATGAGCATCAAGGCTTTCGAGAATGCAGGCGAAGGCACCGGGCAAAGTTGTCAATCGCTGGCGCCAGCAAAACGACCCTCTTCACCAGATGAGGCCACCTCTCTTGGAACAGGGCGGCCAGCAGGCCGCCGAAGGAGTAGCCGAAAATCGCGGTGAAGCAACCTTGCTTGGTTGCCTCGGCGAGGGCCCTCAGCTCTTCAAGGAAGGAGTTGATGCGAGTCTCTTCCACTTTGCCGCCTTCAGGTCTCTGAAACGACTTGCTCAAGCTTGTGTCAGTACACACGCATGGCCCTGGGAGCTCTAGAAGGAACTGCAAAGCTTCTAGGGATTATGCACCAGTTCTGCAGAAAAGGACGAATGCCTACTTTCTTGGGCTTCAATGCTGTGCCAGCCTATGCTTGAGGCTAGGAGGGTTTGGCCATACCCCGACCTGGATGATAGGCCGGGACCTTATGTCCAGCCGCACGTTCCAACCAAGAACTACATCAACCCATCTAATTGCCTTTGGGGCCACTATCAAACACCCACTTGCCAGGATTTTCAGGGACTTGCAGTAAACACCAAGCGAGTCGGTTTTTCTGCATTATGATCTTTAAAGGCACTGAGAATAGGACGTGTAAAGTCGTTCCAGAATGGAGGAGCTCTTCAGAGAGCTGCTGAGCGCACCGACACTCGAATGGAACAGCTTGGCCAAAACCATGCAAATACAACATCTTAGCTGGGCAGCCCATGATTCCAAAGTGGCCACTGCTACAGCCAAAGCTGCGGAAGAGGGGACAACGAAATCAACAACCGTCGAGTACGAAGTGCGAAGGGCATCTTGGACAGCTGTTAATGGGATAGCAATCGCAGTATTGCTGAACATCTTTTACTGTAGAATTCCTGACCCTCTTCCATCAAACCGTTCGAGCAAGGACTGGCCGCTACAGCGCTCGCAACTTTGCCGTCTAGCCCAAGCAAATAGATCAAAAGTGGAAGCGTCAGCAACTGGCCCTCTCATGTTCATTGTAAAATGCATGGACTGCTGACTCTAAACCCAGGTTGATCACACGGCTACTGATAGATACGATGGTCCCTCGCGTAACCATGCGTAACCTATGGCTTTGAAACCTCGAAACTCCTAATACATACCCGAAAAGGCCATGCAGCAAGGCTGCCAAAACATTCCAGACATTTTCTCACATGTTCTGATACGCACGCTGCAATCCCTTTGTAGCCCTCCTTTAAGGAGATTATGCGATGGCTGAGATGGATTCGAAAAATTTCGGGTATATCTCAGAGATCTCAGCATAATTACGAGCTAGGGTGAATTTTGAGAATCTCCAACACGATCTGGCAGAGGTTGCACTTCTGCAGGCTCTGCCGTGACAATCGGGACGGTGGTTTTCCCACAGTTTGACAGCGGCAGCACAAAATTGGGCCCTCAACTAGCAGATGACCACCGCCCATGAAATTTCCAATGCATGTTTAAGTGCCACACCCAAATCAGGAAAGATAACAAGGAAAGATAATAAATGCTTGGAATCCTTCAGATCCGAGGTCAGGCGAGGTATTCGATGCTCACATTGGTGTGGCCTAGCCTGGGTCACAGTTGCCATGCATTGCGCAACTCTTCTGTTGCTCTCCTCTACGAAAATGTATGGGTCGCGCAGGGATCAACAAAAAAACAGAGAGTCCCATGCCAGACACACAAAATCTCAAACCCTAACGCCTTCCAAACAGCAGGAACCAAGCAGCGCTTGAAGCAGAACAGGGGGTGTCTCCTTCAGTTCTCGTTTCGCATATCTGCGGCCGTAAACACCTCAGGGCGCGTTAAGGGCTTGCAGCACCTTGCGGTTCTTTTTTGCCGCTTGAAACATTGAATCATTTGACGTGTAAGCCAAGAAGGCCCATGATAGAAACATTTGCGGGCTATGTGTGAATCGTGCACGTTTGCAGGTGCATTGCGGGCTACGCTTTGATTCTTCCAGGGCCTGCCTAAGATGATATTGGGTGCTTGTCAGCTCCAAGGGTCAGAGATAGAAGCTACAATTTCAAATGATTCAATCGGGAACCTGAGATAGCAGGGATCTCGCCCATGGTGAGCTCCAGTCGCGACACTGTGCTCGGCAGCTTTGCACCCAGGGCTTCAAGCATGGCCTTGTCAGGACAGAGCCCCAGGATTGAAAACGGATTCCCAGACCCCCAAAAGGATCTAAAAATTAGATCCCCTAGAACCATAGGGTAAAATGTATAAGGATTATATAGGGGTTATAATGGGTCTATATAGGGGATCTAATTTTTAGATCCTCCCAGGGGTTTGGGTTCTTAATATCAATAGATTCTGCATGCATTGCGGAGAGCAGAAGCCACGCCTGTGTGAGCTGAGAGCAAGCCCAGAAATCCAGCTCCAGCTCGAGCAAGCCCTACCACATCATGGGATTGCACAGGTCAGTAATTACCCCAGTTTCCATGCATTTTTGTTGCTGTTGTCCGTTTGATTAACATATCCGTGCTGGACCTTCTGGTTTAAGTTGCTGAAGCATGTCATTTCATGTTGGCTTTGGGGTGTCGTTGGACCAGTATTGGTCAAGTATACCGAGCGGCCTGCGGTAGTCCAGAGAACAACTGCACCGACGCGGCATCGTCCAGCAAATGGCAATCGCCAAAGAGAAGATGAAGGTGAGTTGCAGTTGGGGGTATGGACTTGCTCAAGCTCGCCAGGGTCCTGGGCCCAAGCAAATGCAGCTGGACCTTCCTACCGAGATGCTCTTACCCAATTAGGACCGGTGCACCAAACATGGCAAAAGTGCAATCGTTCCAAGGTGCTTGCCCGTTATCCTTGGTTTTCAGGAACTTTTTGCTCAGTGCACGCAAAGCCCCCATCAAAACAAATCACTACACACCCCCACGACTGCAAGATGCTAAGATGAAGCTGACTATCACACACTCCAGCCCTATGCAAAACGCAAGGGCAAGATTCTGTCGGCATCCGACGAAGGCCAAGAAAAGGGTCTTCAGGCCGGTTGGCAGTGCGGATGCCACGCATTCGCCAGAGACATCCGTCAAGCTCGCCAGGTGTCCTACCCGCCATGATGACTACCAGCCTGTGCAAATTAAACCCCCCCCCTTCAATCAGCAATGAGCGCCGCAGCTCACCTAATAAGTCGTACAAAAAAGTCCGAACATGTACTAGTAATCTATGCAGACGCATCTGTATGCTACTGCATGCTGATATGTCTTAATATCTTGCAATATGTCCTATATCCTATTCGTAATATCTACTGATATATGCTCATTGTTACTCTCTTAGGGATATGGATACATTCAAGTATGATTCCTCATACACGCCCGAAGCAATAAGACCCTCCATACAGGGCCTCATAAAAAGAACCATGAATTTGAAGACATTCCCTCCATCATGGTTGAAACTTTCTGACAGAATCTCGCAACACCTAGAACAAGTTAACCCACTTAGGAACCCCATAACCCGGCAATTCCCAGGCCATAGGGTATACAAATCAGGGTGGAGCAAGATTTCCGCCATCCACTGCAGGGCCCCTAAATGAGCCCTAGTCTAAACTCTTAGCATCACCCTTACTAACCCCTATAATACTTCCCTATAAAAACCCCTCAATTTTGCCCCCCTTCTAGGAGTTTAGACCTTAAACCCTACATAACCCCCTTATACAACCTAGAACACCTCCTTTAAGGAGTTTGGACTATAGCTCAAAGGAAAGTTAGCCAAGAAAGCACCAGTCCTAGGCTCAGCCAGAGATGCTTCAAAGTGCTCCCATGAGAAGCAGCCAATGCCTCGGCTCGCAATTTAGGGTCTTGGGCTGAGATGTGCTTAATTTCCTCCCAATGACAATAAAGTTTCCGATCATAACACAATATACCACATATGGGGTATTTAATGCTAAATCCCTTGCCCTGTGCTGTGAAACCCCACCTTAGATTCACTGTAGGAGCCTGGATATTGGAGGCCATGCTTGATTTTAGGTGGTGGGGGTATGTGGGGGTTTTATTGATGTAGTTCTTGCTCGTTTTTGTGTTTCAGCCTGTCGATCTGCTGCTTAATGGTGGCATTTAGGATGGTTTAGGGTTTAGGGGTTAGGGGTTAGGGTTTGGCGTTTAGGGTTCAGGGGTTAGGGTTAAAGGTTTTGGGGTTAGGGCTTAATGGTGGCATTAAGCGTTGGGGGAAATTACCTTGTCCATTACAGGGAAGGCGGGCATGGATTCTAACGAATCATCTTCAGCATGATGTAGGGACCCATGCGGGGTTTACAAATCTGGGGGAGCATCCCCGCAAAAAAAGGATCCTGAGCGGAGAGACCGTGAGGTAGCACCGCTGATTTTCAGATACTATCGTTTTAATTACTATCTTCACCTCCATTCTTTGAGGCACCCCAGCCTGGACTGCTGCATCTGTGAGCACGTTCTTGGCAAGGTCCAGGTGCAGACTTTCAAGCGGAAGCTGATGAAGTGCATGTGCCAAAGCCTGTCAAGCAGCCAATGCTGTCATGAAGGCTTAGTTGTTGTTACAAGTCTTCCCGGGCACTCGGCTTTATGTTTCTTCCATCATCCGGTGGCTGTTCAAACTTGCTACCAGCAGAATATGCCAAGGCGGAACCCTTTAAAGGGGTTTAAAGGGGTTTATAGGGGTTATATAGGTGTATATAGGGTTTAGGGATCAGGGTTTAACCCAGACCCTATAGTATGATAGGGTATATTTTAAGGTAAATATTGGGGTTTTATGGGGATAATGGAAAATAAAATGGAAACTGCTGTATTGTAATAGGGTATATATTGGG